TTGGGGGCAAGTCTGGCTCTTTGCTTTCACTTCACATGCCACGTGACTTCTTAAACACACACTCCCTGTTATTCGTGTGTCTGTGGCGCTTGCTGAATTTTCATGGCAGAAAAGACACAGCAGATCGCCCCTGAGATTTATACTTGTTTTTATCCTACCAGCTCAGATGACCTCCAACCCTTCCCCGTCTGCTGGCACATTGCCGAGACAGATACTAATTGGAACTCTAGCTCTGCTAGCTCCTTATAACTTACTATATGCTTTTTGTTCCTGTTACACCACAGGGCCAAGTTTTCCAGTGGCGTTTGAAGCAATTTGTCTGCCTGCATAGGACCTCACTCTGGCCCTTTAAGGATCCCACCTACTTGCTTTTTTTTTTTTTTTTTTGAGACAGAGTCTCGCTCTGTCCCTCCACACACCTCCCCCCCCACCCCGGCTGGAGTGCAGTGGCCGGATCTCAGCTCACTGCAAGCTCCGCCTCCCGGGTTTACACCATTCTCCTGCCTCAGCCTCCTGAGTAGCTGGGACTACAGGCGCCCGCCACCTCGCCCGGCTAGTTTTTTGTATTTTTTAGTAGAGACGGGGTTTCACCCCGTTAGCCAGGATGGTCTTGATCTCCTGACCTCGTGATCCGCCCGTCTCAGCCTCCCAAAGTGCTGGGATTACAGGCTTGAGCCACCGCGCCCGGCCTTTTTTTTTTTTTTTTTTTTTTGAGTAAGCTCCCATTGAGAGGAGGACAAATTCTTCCTTCACCATTTGCGAGTTCTTACCCCAAGCCCCAAGTCCTCTGGAGTTTACTCCTTTATGTCAAGAGGGCAAATAAATGTTGCCCTCTTGAATCCAAGGGCTGCTGTATTTGTGCGCATATGAAGGCTTTCCATGAGTATTCCTCTCACTTCCTCCCACTTTCTCCTGTAGCTTCCATTTCTCTAATCACTTCCATGTGCTTCTTAACATACATCAAGACCTTCAAGGTCATATTTGCAGGGAAGGAAGTCTAGCCCCTTGCAGCAGTTAGCTGAAAAACAGGCTTCTCATCTACTTAAAGAACATGGAAATGGGAATACAAGAAAAGAGATAATCATTTTGTTGCTAAAATGCTGAAGTGAGAGTTACTATAGGGTCATGGAGACAAGGATATAGGCTGGCCCAAGGCAGCAGGTGCAAGAGACCCATAGGACAGAGATGAAGTTTGGCCCTAGGCTAACAGATTACCATTAGAACAGAGAAGAAAGCAAGGTTAGGGGTACACAGTAAGACCAGTTCCTTCCAGAACGTCAGGGATGAACAGAGGGCCCACTCTTCACTCCGGTATCTCCTCTGTTTTCAAGTGGGTAATTGTGATGAGATGGACCGGTTTATTCTGGAATGCTAAGGACAATGGGGGATGTCTCATTCAGAATAATAGGAAAGCAGAGGAAAAACGTTTTCCCCTTTTTCTCCTCTGTTTGCCCTTTGCAGATGGGTAACAGCATCTCCATATTAAAGATCATGCCCCTTGGATGCACCCCCTAAAACGGGGAAAAGTCTGATTCCCCCAAATCTTAAAACAAAAAACTAGTTTTCCTTTGTAATACTATTTGGCTTAAGAATGGACTGGGAGGAAATTGCAAAAGTCAGCCTTACAACTCAGTACCCCTGTGCAGGAGGTCCTCAGATTAGCCACCTCAGTCTTTTATAACTGAGAGCAGAATAAGGATGACAAGGCTAAGTAAAAGGAGAAACACAGAGAAAGGAGGTGGGTTCAAGTATTGGCTCCTCTGCAAGCCCACCAGCCTCCTTCAGGTTGCCCTAAGGGCACTGGCATTCATGTGGGAAGCCAGGCCACTGGAAGACAAAGTGCCCTAATGGGATAAATGGGAAAAAGCATCTAATGGCTTGTCTCTCTGCCACAAGCTTGGCCACTGGAAATGCGACTGCCCTGACGGGCCAAAGGGCCCTTGGGACAGAATCCCAACCCCTGATAAGCTTGAGCTGAAGGTGCTCTCTGCTCTAGCTGCCTTCCAAATCACACATCATCACCAACAGGACAAAGCTGAGGGCAACTCTGCAGGTGGCAAGTACAATTATAAATTTCCCTTTTGGGTTCAAGAGCTGCCTACTCTGTGCTAATATTGTTCTCTGAGCAACTCTCTTACAAATCCTGTTAGGCAATGGGGGCAAATGGCACCCCCCCAAAAGAAAAGATTCGCACCCCTTTACATTACTTAAGGGACCAATTACTATTCTCCCACCATTCCCTGGTAATGTCCTCACACCTCTTTGGGGCAAAAATACACTTTCCAAAATGGGTGCTCACTCAATATTTACCCAGCCTCTGAATTCATCTTTCTGTCTGATAGCCCTATCTCTCCCTGCAAAATTACCTAATTCTTTAACCAATAACTTTATCCTGTACAGTCCTACCTCAGGGGTTTATAAATAGCCCACATTTATTCATAAAAGTTCTAGTGAAAAGTCTAACTGAGCAAACTCTTGAGCAGTGGATAACTTCTGCAGTATGTCAATAACCGCCTTATCTGCTCCCCCTCCACAGGACTCACATAGCAACATGCAGTACAAACTTTAACTTTTTAACAGAAGGAAAATGACTTGTGTCTAATTCAAAGGTTATAAAGGTAAAGTGGTATCTCTGGTAAGGAAGGATATAAAGAAGAGATTTTGTAGGACAAAAAAAAAAAAAAATCTCGTATGGTAAATTCTTGTCCTAAAGTAAAATGACTGGTGGTTTAAAAAGAGGGATGTTTAGGACAAGTGAAAAAGTCCAAGCATGTTGTAGGTGGTCTAAGTTGTTAAAAAAGATTTGTGAAAGGGAATTTATGAAAGAAATGCTATACAATTGTAAAGATTACTATGCCTTCTAAATGCTTCACAAACTGGCACTATAGTTCTTAACTCTACAAATTCCCTGCTTTAAAGCTAGGTAAGGCCTGGGAACATACAGAGTTAGCCCTGCCACCTAGTTATGCTGAAAACAGTCAAACCTTATCTGGACTTCTGTCTGGTGTCCTAGGCTCCAAACCTAGTACATAATTAAAATCACTTACTTACCAGTTTTTTCACCAAAAGTAAAAATTGCTGAGACTTAACAGTGTAACACGTACTTGAGGCCACTGGAAAAATGGTTTTACATGCAAGGTATGTAAGGAAGGTAGAATGTGCTTTTGGGAAAAAGTTATAAGAAGTCATGGGAATATGGATTTTTCTGTCCACTTTAGAGGGTTAAAGGGTTGTTTTAGAAGGCAGTTTATAATAAGCTATGGGAATCTAACAGGTGCTCTTAAATGCAGGTTTCTGATAACTTTGGAATTGTGACATTATAATAGAGGAAAAAACTTTCAGGACTCTCAGGAGAGCTAAAATGTTCATGAATATGAAGCAGAACAGGAGTTAAACTGCGTGGACTGAACCAAGAAAAGACTAAAACAATCCTCTTGTTACTTTTTGCTTAAAACATTGCTAATCTTTTGTTTTTCAAAGCCTAGAAAGCTTTTCTTTTGAGCTATTTACAATTTTTAACAAATGAGCAAAGCATACTTTTGTAAACAAAATTTGTAGCATATTTCTCTCTTCCAGATTCCCCAGAATTTGGAAACTATTTGTGAGTATTGCTAACTTATGGCAACATAGTAATTTGCATAAGTGCAATAAGAATCTATTTTCTTTTGCAAGGACAAAATTGAAGCCACTGATTATTTTACCAAGGCTTTAACTGTAATGGTATGCTTTCCTTTAAGGAATCAGATTTGACTTATAGAGCCAATAAAGTCCCCGTAGGAAAACATACCTTATCTACATGGTGCCTGTACAGGGTTCCTGACCTGTAGTAAGTAAAGAATACCAGTTTCTGACAGGCCCAGGAGTCCCAGGTTATCTGGGGACCTCAAGAGGAAAGGAGTTTATTCAATTCATACAGGTATTTGATGGCACCAACCCATGCCTGGGCTTAAGGCTTTAAAAACGTCTTATTTGAGATTCCTTATGGAACAAAGTTCCATCAAAGCCAATTTAAACAGGAGCCTATATGGGAAATAATTATTCTTGCTGTGCTTTATGCAAATAATTAGGCCAAGTATAATAAGATTAAAGTTTATTTTGCAAACAAATCTGTCCTGTCATGATTTGTTTTTAATAAAAATGAGGACTGGAGAGAAAAATTATGTTTATTTCTTTTTTTTTTTTTCTTATTTTTTTTTTGAGATGGAGTCTCTCACTCTATTGCCCAGGTTGGAGTGCAGAAGCATGATCTCAACTCACTGCAACCTCTGCCACCTGGGTTCAGGCGATTCTTCTGCCATGGCCTTCCGAGTAGCTGGGATTACAGGCACCCACCACCACGCCCAGCTAATTTTTGTATTTTTAGTAGAGACGAGGTTTCACCATGTTGGCCAGGCTGGTCTCAAACTCCTGAACTCAAGTGATCTGCCCACCTTGGCCTCCCAAAGTGCTGGGATTACAGGCATGAGCCACCATGCTTGGCAAATTATGTTTCAAGAACTATGGTATACCTGTTCTTAGATTCTAGTCTCATCAGCTGTTTTTGAGTTTTTCTCTGCAATTTAGACTAACTTTCATTCCTGTGAACCAGCTAGTGATCTCTGGCTGCAGCTCAGAAGAAACAAAAGGGATGGGTAATGTACAAATCTGGATGAATATTCTAATTCTGGGCACATACTGGAATTGGCTAGCAACCCAATAAACCTAAGTCTTGGCAGGCATGACTATGGCCACCAGTTACAAATAACCCAATTGTCTATTTTCATCTTCAGGCCATCAAGCTCCAGATAATCCTCAGTGAGGGATACCATCCTCTCAATATTCAAGAGTCACCCTCTTACAGGGGACCCCTAGATGTCCATCAGGGATACATGATGGAGATAAAATTCTGCCCCTGCCTCCCTTGGACCTGGCTGGATACTGCTTTCATCAACCCATGGAGCCACTCTCCTTCCCTGACAGCTAGCAACAGGCCAACAGTCACAGAACAACCACCACTGCCCCACCATCAGCAGGAGGGATTTATGAAAGGCTGATCATCCATTCTTCCCAAAGAATTGAGGTCTTGGAATCTTGAGGGGAGAAATGCTACAGTGGGTAGATAGTCGATCATGAGCAGGGCAGGAGAGCACTCGCCCGAACCCCTACAAAGAATGTCAGGTGACCATCAGGTGATGGTCAGGCAGCTGTTAACTGCCTCTCTAAAATAATAATTGGTTGCCGCCAGTGCCCGGGAAATTCAGTCTCCCAACAGATAGGAAAAACCTGAAACTGGTAGTCAACAGTTTCCCAATAAGATCTCAGGAGTTGCATGAGTGGGCTCAAGCATGTGCATTAAGAGGAAAAATGGCAGAGGTGAACTGGTATATGGCCTCCTAGGGACATTCAACTGGTAAGGGAAGAACGCCTCAAGTGAGCATGTGTACAGCTCCAGTAAACACACCATGCATGGTCCCCTCCCAAGGGCTAGCAGGCAACTGCACATGCAGACAGCCCACCCCAAAGGAAGAATTAGGGGAGAAAAAAATGCAAGCCCTGGAAGTTTGTCAACATATAAAATCCTAATTCAAAAGGTCAAACCACTCACTTGTCTTTCAAGTCGCCTGCTTGACCCTCTTCCAAGTGGACTTTCCTTCCTTTTGTTCTTTCTCTAAAGTTTTTAAACAAATTTTTATTGCTGTTCCAAAACTTGCATTGGTCTTTCGAATTGCCTAATGCCTCCTTGAATTCTTTCTTCTGAGGAGGCAAGAATTGAGGTTGCTGCAGACCTGTATGGATTTGCCACTGCTAACAGAACCTCCCATGTAATCCCACCTGAAGATTCTTTAAGGCAGTTTCTCAATGTCAGCACTATTGACACTTTGGTTGGGAAAATTCTTTGTGTATATGGCTGTCTGTGTACTGAAGGATGTTTAGCAGTATCCTTGGCCCTGTCCTATTAGATGCCAGTAGCATTCTCCCAATTGTGTCAATAAAAAATGTGTCCATACATTGTCAAATATCCCCATGAGGGGAGGGGCAAAAATCATTCCAAGTTGACAATCACTGGTGTAAAGACATCAAAAGGCAGGTGATCCTTAAGCAAGGAATGGTTTTATACAGCAGTAAGGGATTGTTCTATACACATTTTTTCTCAGGACCACATGGTGTTGGTCAACTAGTAAGAAGATTTGGTTTTGGTAAATGGACTGCACTATGCTGTTTTCCAGTGTTACATGCATAGCAAGGTAGTAACACTGATGTATTAACAATGACTTGCTTTGATCATTAGACCACTGTAAATAAGGTCCAATCCTCTTCCAAGGCCCTAGTCAAGATTGCTAGTAGACAATAAACCTGCCCTTGTGAAAAGGGGATGGAGCAAGGCAGGCCAAAAGTTGAGGTTCCAAAGGGTCATTCTAACGGTGTGAGAGTGGAGGGTGTGAAGTTGGGTTGCTATGTCTAAATGAGTGAAGCTGTTGAATGAAAGCAGGGTGAGCCAAACTCTATTCTGAGATAAATCTGAGCCAGCATCTTCAGTCTCTGGCAGGATCCTCAAATCCATTCCAACATCTAGTTTGTAGCTCTGTACAGTCTTCCATGGAAATCATCTTCAAAATGTACAAACTGTGAAGAAAAGTGAGAAAAATGTACAAACTTTGAGAAAAGTGAGAAAATGTACAAACTTTGAGAAAAGTGAGTGAGAAAGGAGAGGAAATGGAAATGAGGAAGTGGAAAGCAAGAGTTTTTCCTGCTTCACTGAAGCCTGGGCAGGCACACAATGATGGCTATGTATCTTCCTGGTGGTGCCTACATCCCAGCTGATATGGTTTGCTCTGTGTCCCCACCCAAATCTCATCTTGTAGCTCCCATAATTCCCACGTATTGTGGGAGGGACCTGGTGGGAGATAATTTAACTGTGGGAGCAGGTATTTCCTGTGTTGTCCTTGTGATAGTAAGTCTCACGAGATCTGATGGTTTTAAAAATGGGACAAGCTCTCTCTCTTTGCCTGCTGCTATCCATGTAAGATGTGACTTGCTTCTCCTTGTCTTCTGCCATGATTGTGAGGCTTCCCTAGGCACGTGGAACTATACGTCCATTAAAGCTCTTTCTTTAGTAAATTGCCCAGTCTCAGCTATGTCTTTACCAGCAGCATGAAAATGGACTAATACAACAGCATTAAGTGAAGTGCCATGGTGCCCATTGCCTCTGTTTCCTCTCAGACTGGACCACGCCGGGACTATCACGGGAGCGAATAACTAAAGCCCACGCAGGCACAGGCCCTACCTCTTACCACTATAAATAGAACGGTGGGCTCTGCCCTCTAGGATCCTTCATTCTGGTACTGATAACTCTTTTCCAGCAGTTCCTTGGAATCTCAGCCCAATTTCATTAGGTTTCTTGAAAGAGGGAAGAATAAATCCCATGCGGTTCTTTCTAGTGCAATCTAGTTTAAAAAAAAAAAGATTTTTTAGTGCTCGCTTTGGCACTACATATACTAAAACTGGCAAGATACAGAGATCAGCATGGCCCTTGTAATAAAAAAAAAAAAAGGCTTTTTAGTGGGTTAAGTTATAAAGTAGATTGATCTTACTTTGTTTATCAGACCCTGAATCTGGTCCATCATCCAAAACCTGTGCACTTGCTTTCATTTAGTACTTTCTCATACATAGTTTTTTTTCCCTCTTAACCATTTTGTCTTAAGATTTACTGCTATTACTTGTGGCTTTAAAGAGAAAAGGCATTACCTGTGTGGTTTATACAAAGTTCATGGCTATATTGGGGGTGGGGTGGGGCAATCAATAAATCCCCATCTAGGTGATTCCATTAGGTCAGGGTTTGGTCCTATAATCACTGGAGGTTCATATCCCAGCTTCGCTTACAAGCAGCGTGACCTTGAGTATGTGAGGACTTTTTTTTTTTTTTTTTTTTTTTTTTTTTTTTTTAGATAGAGTCTCACACCCTGTCAACCAGGCTGGAGTGCAATGGTGCAATCTCAGCTCACTGCAACCTCCACCTCCTGGGTTCAACTGACTCTCCTGCCTCAGCCTCTCGAGTAGCTGGGATTACAGGCACCCACCGCCATGCCCAGCTAGTTTTTGTATTTTCAGAAAAGACAGGGTTTCACCATGTTGGCCAGGCTGGCCTCGAACTCCTGACCTTGTGATCTGCCTGCCTTGGTCTCCCAAAGTGAGGACTTCTTTTATACCAATGAGGATAACAGTATCCACTTTTTTTTTTTTTTGAAATGAAGTCTCACTCTGTCTTGCCCAGGCTAGAGTGCAGTGGTGCCATCTCAGCTCACTGCAGCCTCTACCTCCCAAGTTCAAGTGATTCTCCTGTCTCAGCCCCCTGAGTATCTGGGACTACAGGCGTGTGCGAGCACACCTGGCTAATTTTATATTTTTAGTAGAGACAGTGTTTCACCATGTTGGCCAGGCTAGTCTCGAACTCGTGACCTCAGGTGATCCACCCGCCTTGGCCTCCCAATGTGCTAAGATTACAGGTGAGAGCCACTGTGCCTGGCCAGGAGTTAATGGTATCCACTTCTTGAAGTTAGGATTAAATGTGATAAAGTCTGCAAAGTACTTAGCATCGTACCTGGCACTATTATCAATAATTATGCAAATGAAGTGTCATCAGAATGTGATACTCATATTATTTCAAAGATCGGCATAGTCTTCAGCCCTAAGAACCTGGATTTCAGAATGTCCATGAGAATCACTAGGCATGAATAACAACCTAAGGAAAGGATTAAAAGGGGTACAGAAATGGAAAGATGAGTACAACATGGAGAAAAGAGAGAAGGAAAGAGAACACAAACAGGCACAGACAGACCTTGCCACCCCAAAACAGTAATTGAACAAGGCACTGTCCACTTTATGAGCAACAGTCTCTGCCATCAAGGGACATGTCTTTTGGGTGAGACAGTCAAATGAATGGAGCGAGATGATTATGACAGAGAGGTTACAGGTGATTGGGAGCACGGAAGAGCAGCCAACTCAACTAAGAGTAGGGTTTAGAGTTGCAGAGTAACAAGTAACAGAATGAAGTCTTGAAGAATATCTGAGAGTTAGAAGGGTACAGAGTGTACGAAAACACGGAGGTAAGAGCATGGACGCAGGGACTAAAATTCTGTATGGCCGAAGGTGGAGTGTAGGGTTAAAACATGACATCTATTTGTTATTTAAAGTGTTTTAGATATTTGTTGAGGACCATCTACAGGTCAGGCAGTTTTAGGAATGGAGGATTCTGTAGAAAGACACTCAAAGTCTGTCTTCTCAGAATGTTCTTTTCTACAGATGATATATGATAAACAAGTACAAAACGAAGGAAATGAATGATGGATGGAAGTTCTGTAATGGAAATACAACCATGGGCAAAGTGATAGAGGAGGGGTGGGTAGGAAACCCAATTTAGATGAGGTGGTCACTTAGACTTCTTTGAGAAGGTGGTATTTCAGCTGAGTCAGAAGGGTAGATGGAGCAAGCAGTGCATAGATGGCCAGGCTGGCAGGTAGAGCATTTAAAATGGTTCAAAGGTCCTCAGGCCAGGGGTGACGGGGTAAAGCAGAGACTAGCTACCATTTGCTTCATCAATCTTTTGGTGTGGGTGCCGAGGAGCATGAATAAGGTGAAAGACTGCTCCTAAGGAGATACATTAAAGGTGACACATTTGCCTACAGTAGCCTTCAACTTTGCAGACCAACAGTAGTGGGAGTCCAGTCATACGCTTCTGCATGTTAGCCAGAACCTTCTGCTATGTTCTGAATTTGGCCTAAATTGAAGGATTCAAATATCATCTCAAACAACTTTTCCTCCTACAGACAAAGGTGAAGATTCAGGAGCTCACAGCCTCAGGGGGCAAAGCACAGATAAGAAAATCCAGGTGATAAGCGGCAGTTAACAGTGGCCCATACCAGGGACTTGCGCTCACAGAAGAGTTTTGAAGGCCTGGAATGCGTTTGAAGATGAGTTCATGAGCAGACAGAAAGGATTCCACTAACAGCGGAGAAACGCAAAGGTCATGTGTTTTTAGGGACCTCCAAGTGGTCGGTAAGGTTGGGGTCAGTATTAGTTTCTTTGCCTGTAAAATGGGGACAATAAGAATTCCTCGTCCCTTAACTATTCTCCACAGCAAGAAACCTTAAAGGTAGAGAAGAAAAGATAAATCTGTTTTCACAGTAAGTCCTTGTTAGTCACCAAAGATTGCAGGATCGCAGCAGGGCACACTCATCTGTACAGAACCCGTCTCCAAATAGGCGGTGCAAGGTGCAGCTCCACCTGCTCCACCACTAGGTGCAGAAGAATGTCTACGGCAGGGAGTTCTCAACTTGTGACCTTGGGTCTGCGGGGGTCTAGATGGACTTCAGCTGGCGCCCGTGTCGCATGTGAGTTTCCTGGGTAGTAGTAACCCCAAAAGGGCCGCGACGTCTACAGAAGTGCCACTACTTGGAATTCTCGTCCATGGCCACGTTCTCACTGCTGGGAGAAACAACAGGGTCAGGTCTAACACTCCTTTCTCGGATGCATGGGCGAACAGAAATATCCCTGGCCTTCACCTAATCGTGCCCTGAGAACACTTCCCCCGGGTAAGCAGTCACCACACTGATATTCCCACAGAGCGAAGTGCCGGAGCCCGTCGCCGGCGATTGCGCATCTCGTCGCGGAGAGCATTATGGGGTTGGTAGTCCAGACTGAGGCGCAGATAGCGGTCCTCGAAGCCATAGAACCACACTTCCCAGCAGGGCCCGCGCAGCAGGGCACGCAGAGTGTGTGCGTAAGCGACCAGATTTCCGGGGGAGCCGGGGGCGGGACTTCAGCGGAGGCCGGAGCGAGGTGTCGGGATGCAGCGCCCCGGGCCCTTCAGCACCCTCTACGGGCGGGTCTTGGCCCCGCTGCCCGGGAGGGCCGGGGGCGCGGCCTCTGGCGGAGGAGGGAACAGCTGGGACCTCCCGGGTTCCCACGTGCGGCTGCCGGGGCGTGCACAGTCCGGGACCCGTGGCGGTGCTGGCAACACAAGCACCAGCTGCGGGGACTCCAGCAGCATCTGCCCGGCCCCCTCCACGATGTCCAAAGCCGAGGAGGCCAAGAAGCTGGCGGGCCGCGCGGCCGTGGAGAACCACGTGAGGGTGAGCACCTGGGGACGTGGGGCGCGGGAAACATGTCCTCGGCGTGTTGGGCTCCTGTTGCGCTTTTTGGGTGCTGCCGAGGCGCGCCTACCTCCTGGCAGGGCGGGGGCTGAGTGAGAGGGTAGAGAGTGTGCATTTTACCCGAGTTTAGACCCCTCTTCCTTGCTCTTTAGAGACCTTTTAGATGTGGAATCGGTTGGGGGCGAATCTTCTAATATTTGAGCTTTCGAAAGACTCCTTGTCTAGCTGGAACAGTTTGCAAAGTGGAGCCTGGTGTTGTCTCATGTTTGGAATGGGGGCCAGAGGCACTTGCCTTGTGGTCTCCTTATCAATAAATGGAAAATGGTGGGCTTTGGGACTACGGAGAGGTTTTCATTTCTCGTTACTGACCCGGAAGCCGGCGGAGAGTTGGTTTGCTAGTGCTTTGAAATTTCAGTCGAAGGTGGTTCTGGGCTTGGTGCGCGCCGGCCCCTGAGTGAACTCCTGGAGGGAAGGGAAGACCCGGGACTTCAAACTTCCTTCTTTCCATAGGGCGGGGTGGACTAAGTCTGGAGGATGCTGGTTTATTTTTTAAGGCGGGGCTGCAGAGATGTTTAGCTGTTATTCGGCCAGGTCGTGGTCCCTACTTGTTTGTTAAGTGGCATGGTGCTGTTAGTGGAGTTTTTTTTTTTTTTTTTTTTTTAATCCAGGTGGTTTTGCTGTCAGCAATCAAGTTAATTATCTTATTTGTAAAAGGAAGCCAAGTAGAGTATGTCTGCCCTGTGGTGTAGTTTCCTTGGTCTTACTGGTTTTTTATTTCTCATTTCTACTTATTAGAAAGTGGTATTAGAGTCTCTTTTCTTCTCCGATAATAGTTCTTTACATTTGTTAATGCTTTACTCAACAAAATTATTTTGCTTAGATGATGTTTGATGAGCTTCACCACAGCGTGTTTGAGTGGGAGTGGACAGTGTGGTAACCTGTGGCTCAGCCAGTTCTGTGGGAGGGATGTTCCAGTGTTCCCTTCTACCCTTTCCACTGCTACCCTGTTCTGGTGTAGCCTGTTGCAAGTCTGATTGGCAATAGGATTTTCTATGGGGATTAACAGAGATAATGTAAAATGTGTTAATTTGACCCTACCGTTGGGATTCAGTGCCTCAGTTGTAAAAGTGAGACAATAAGCTGAAATTTCAAAATGTCTGCATAAAGTGAATAGCTAATAGTTAAATGTAATCCGCATGAGAATACAATTAGAAAAGCACCGTATCTAAGTTGTTCAGTTAATGAATTTATGTTAATATTTGGTGGCACATCTCCCTGACCTTTGTGTTATAGTTATGTATTTGATTAAATAAAAATCTGCAGGCCCTGTCCTTAGGCTAGAGCCCCAAAACACTGGATTCTGACCACATTTCATGAAGTTAGGCGATTTTGGGGAGATCTACAGTGACCTTTTGGGGGCACCTGTTAAAGGCATATATGCCCTTCAGGGTTTGGCTTAAAGTCCATTTCCTCCTTTCAGTTTTTCCTTAGCGTCCTAAGGAGAGGAAGAATTCTTTTCCGCGATTCTGTAGCACTTCACGCCTCTTATGTGCTTTATGTTGTATCTTATATTTTGGTCATCTGTGTGTTCATTTCTTCCAGCCCCTTAAAGGGTAAGCTCCTGGAGGGCAGTTAACTTTCATTTAGCATTGGTCACAATGGGGCCTGCCCAGTACATGTATGTTCAATTGTGTGCAGTGTGGACACAAATATGAAAGTGTTGGGGTTATTGGAGGTTCTTTGTGTAGAATCTCTGGCGAGTAGGGCTTCCTGTTCCCTAGTCCATTGGAGTTCCAATATGTCGACCACTTCCATGTCTGGGTGGATGGAAAACATGGAGAGTTCTCAGGTGAATCCTTTGTATAGCCACCCTGGGCCCAGCTCTGTCTGTTTCTGGGGGTGTAGCTACCCAGGATGGGCCGCCATTCAGAACTAGGCTCTTCTGAACGTCTGTAGCCTCATCCCTTTGTTCTCTTTGGAGCCTAGGCTTTGTTTTTTTGACTGGCTTGGTTGAGGAAGCTGATGGGCGGTGGTTCTAGTTGGTTAGCAGAAGTAGTATTTCCAGAGTTACTCCATTTGACAAGCTGAGGGAAGTTCTGATGTTGCATATACGTGTGGTTTAATATTGCCCATTAGAATGGGGCCACTCCTCTAGCAGGGCCTGCTTGGCAGTCTTCTGCTGTTGGGCCACCTCATAGGCAGCCTTTGGTCACCTCTGGTTGGCTTTGGCAAAGACACTGATTCCTGGGCCAGTCATTTGATTCCAAGGCAGCAGGGATCACATGGTTGAAGAGCTTTAGGCCTGGCAGGGCCTTGCAATTCCTGGTCTCTTCCAAAAGGCAAAGAAGGAACCTTACACAGAGCTTGTCTGATTCATCCGAATTCACCTCTGTGCCACCTGCCTGCTGGGGACTGTGAGTGACCTGAATGTATGGCTAAGCTTGGTAACCAGGAATCTGGTGATTGAATGACTGTAAAGCTAGAGTTCCTAGCTTCAGGTCAAGTGTGAAGGTCAGGCTAATTCTATCTAGTGTGATATTTTAAACACACACACACACACACACAATGTTTTTATCCATGGCTCCTGGTTCATAACACTCATAACTCTTGCTACAGTCTTTTGTTATATTTGGGGTGCTTTAGGGCCCAGAGCAGGCCTCAGAAAACAGAATCTTCCTCTCTTACCTTCTGCCCTCCTTCCGCTTGCTCCTTTCTCTCCCCAATGCTTTTCTCTCTTGGAGCTGGCCATAAAGAAATTCTGTGACCTATGTTGTCTGATTGTAGGTCATTAAGATCCCCGTTTCAGAAGGGTTCCTCTTCCATAGCCTGGAGGAAGGAATGCTGCAGGTGAAGAATCTGAACAGACAGCCCTTGCAGGGTTTCCCCAGTCAGTCTGCTAGTATTGGATCATGCCATTTTTGTCCAGTCACATTTCTAGGCCCTTGTAATTCCTGGTCTTTTCCAAGATCCAATCATATCTATTCGATAAAGTCTCAAAAAAAAAAAAAAAAAAAAAAAGGCTCAAGAGGACAGGGTTTGGAAGCTTCTGGAGAGCAGAACATATGAAGGTCCCTGGAGGATGGTGTGCCTAGAGAGAGCATGGAAGCTCTGTGCTCCTCCTTACATGCCTTTACCTATGCATCTCTTCATCCGTATCCTTCATCATAGCCTTTATAATAAATTGGTAAACATGTTTCCCTGAGTTCTGTGAGCCACTCTAGCAAGTTAATCAAACCCAAAGAGAGGGTTGTGGGAACTCCAACTTGAAGCTGGCAAGTCAGAAGTTCTGGAGGCCTGAACTTGCATTTGGTAGGAAGGAGGAGGCAATCTTGGGAGTTGAGCCCTCAACCAGTGGAACCTTATGGTATCTCCAAGTAGAGAGTGTTGAAATTGATTTGGAGGATACCCAGCTGGTGTCTGCTGCAGAGTAGATTGCTTACTTGGGATATGGGGAGAAATCCCCATACATTTGGTTACAGAAGTCTTCTGTGTTGATAATTGTTGTGGTGTGAGAGCAGAGGAAAAAGTTTGAGTTTTTCCACACTCAGACATAGGACATTTTCTCATTGCTTGAAGATTTTTATATGTGAGATATTTAGCCATTTTGAATGTTTCTGTGCTGTGATGTGTCATTTACTTGTCTTGAAGTCCTTGCCTTTGGAGATTGTCCAGGTAGCTAAACAACTGTATTAGACACATTGCCTTCTTGAGAGCATTGGCACAGGTGGAATCCTGACCTAGTGCGAACCGTGTTCTGATAACCCAAGCCCCTGATGTATTCAGTGACTTTGGAACTGTGAGCTGGTAAAAGCAGTTTCCACCAGGTCAGTAACACAAAAGTTGTTGGGTAAAGTCTTCTGTAGGTAGGAGAGGCTATAGAAGCATTTTTAGTGTACATGTATGTGGTTGTGGAGACATTAGTATTTGATTTTTTTTTTTTTTTGGTAACTCTATTTGTTGGTCATTCTTACTAATCTTTTCTAGTTATAGATGTAGTCTAACTGTGAGAAGGACCATATCTAATGTGAGGCCTATGGGCTGACTTTAAGTATTCCTATGGCCTTTGTCCTGTGGGGAATGAAGGAATTTAGTTGTGGCCTTGTTTGTCCTGAAGGCCCTTCAGGACTTTTCTTCTTCCTAAAAAGAAGGTTTTACTATGGGCTTTCCTTTGTCAGATAAATTAATTGTTAATCAGTTGTTGGAAATCTTAAGAAATTTGAAGTAGATTGATGTTTCAGCAAATTGAACTTCCGGAAGTTGCTTATTCGATTGAAATGGCTCATCCTGTAATCCCAGCGCTTTAGGAGGCAGAGTTGAGAGAATCACTTGAGGCCAGGAGTTCGAGACTAGCCTAGTTGACAGTGAGACTGTGTCTCTTAAAATAATTTAAAAATTAGCTGGGTGTGGTGGCATGTTCCTGTAGTACTAGCTATGTGGGAAGCTGAGGCAGTAGGGATGTATGAGCCCAGGAGTTTGAGGATGAGTTTGTATATATGTGTGTGTGTGTCGGGGGGGGGGCATTGATATTATTTATATGTATTGTAAATATATATACAAGATCTATATCTTGTATGTATATTTAAAACAGGTAAAATCACACATATATAAAATGAATATATGTCAAAGATTTTATTTAACTCACTAAATTAGGGAACTGGAAAAGTTATTAGAACCTGTTCATAGGTGTCTTAGTCCATTTTGTGCTGCTATAATAGAATACCTGAGACTGAGTAATTTATAATGAACAAAAATGTTTTGGCTTATGCTTCTGAAGGCTACGAAGTCCAGTATCAAGGTGCTGGCATCTGGTGAGAGAGAACAGATGTTGCGGTGCTATGGGTGGGCACCAATCCCACCCATGAGGGTGGAGCCCTCTGACCCAATCACCTCGTAAAGGTCCCACTTCTTAATATTGTTATAATGGCAATTAACTTTCAACATGAGTTTTGGTGGAGATGTTCAAAGCAAACAGGAGAAGTCAACCATAAGCTCATATGTAGTAAAAAAAAAATCTTAAAATGAGTTTAGAAGATCTGTTAATAATTGTATCTCATAGAACACTATTAATTTGCTTTTCTATGAACAAAAATTACTTGCTTTGTTAACAGTTTTCTGCAAGTTAAAGTGTATCTCTAGAGTCGTCATATATCTTAAAGACAAAGGCACATACCTATTTCAAGTCAGACAATACAATCAGGTTCCAGCATCCCATTGGAAGGATATCCAGTAGTCTCTTTTGCTCATTTCAAAGTCTGAAGTTTTTCCTTACAATATTGAACTCATCTATAAAGTGTTAATAGTGGGTCTCTGGGTCATAAGTGATTGTTGTGAGATTTGACTTTATATTAACATTTATAAGCCTTCTTGGTAGGTGCTTAATAAATGATAGCTGCCGCTTTGGTGTTCAGTTGACTTTGCCTTGCACCGGCAGGAGATAGATGTCAGGAAGTTGCTTAGGCACTGAACTCCATATTAGTTCCTGACTGTTAGTACCCTGGCCTCGTTTTGCTCTTTGTGGTCTAGTAGACTCAGCTGAGCTTTTACTCTGTCTTTGGTCTGTTTGTAGGTACCTTCTTTGTTTCTTAAGGTGGTAGGCTCGGTGTTGTGATGTCTGCTTGTACTTTGTACTCAGGAAGTGCTCTGCTCTATTACGATCCTTCCTATTGCAGATGAAGACTATTTTTCATGTTCTTAACTAAGCCTTTGCCCTCTTCCCATTTTCTCTGAGGCAGGCTCAGGCAAAATGAGCACCCCGTGGCGTCACCTCGGCAGATGCTGACATACTTTATTATTTTGAGGTTACTTCAGGCCCTCCCTTTGTCTGCTGACTTTGGGAGAGCTCTAGATGGTGGGCCTGATGTGTCTTGTGGTGCTACCAACTTGAAGGTGCCTGGGGAAGACACTGAAGCCAGAAGCCTTAGCTTTCCTCCTTTACCCAGGTTCCAGGCTCTATTTTATTTTATTTTTTTTTTAAGTGTTTTTCTAATTACCTCCTTGGGGTTGGCCGGGAATCTTTTTCTTTCTTCTTCTTCTTTCTTTTTTTTTTCTTTAAACACACTGTTGCTGGCTTGAAATGTTGGGAATCTTTAAGTGTTTATATGCAGGCCATTTCTGTGAGGGTGACGCAAGTTGCTATTCAGTTGCAAGTAATTGCACCAATTATTTGGTAGAATGGAGGGAGGAAGTGGTGGTGTTGACAGTGTCAGAAACAAGGGAGGAGAGCCTTGTTGAACATTTGTCCACCATGCGTAGGTTAAAGTACAGCATTGAGGTTCAGTGTTTATGTTCCTATAAAATAGGCACGGTACCTGTCTTGTACCTGTGTTGGTGAATTGCTGTTCATAATAATTTTATAGCTTTAGGAAGTGGGCTGACAAAGGAGTAAAATATGGTATTAATAAGTTTCGTTTTTTCTTCCCCCCTTTTGGCAGAATAACCAAGTGCTGGGAATTGGAAGCGGTTCGACAATTGTCCACGCTGTGCAGCGAATAGGTATGCTCTCTCACTGTCTACTGGATGCTTTGTGGGTGATGATGGGGTAGGGAGGTAGAGGAGAGGGAGGATGCGGCGCACAGGTTTGGCATTGCCCTTTTGGCTTCAGCAGTACAGAGCTGGAGAGAGGGACTACCTGAGGTCAGCTGTTTCTGCTCTTTTTTGGACAGAGGGAATCTTGGGCCTCTTCATCCAACTTTGAAGGGTGTCCTTGCCTTTGTTTACTCTGCTCAGCTGGAGGGGAGGAGCTGACTTAGCTCGAGGTCCCAATATAATTTTAATCATGTCCATGGCATTCTACCATTGAGTTCTTTGCATGATCTCAGACTTCCTCAGGCAGATAATTGAGGCCACAGTGGGTTTGCCCTGTCCATGCCCCTGGAGTGGATGTGGGGCTCCTGCCATTGATGGCTGGTTCCTGCAGGTGCTCATTTCACACTGATTAGGGTGTCTCTATGCTTAGGAAAGGCTCAGGAATTATCAGCCCCTGTGGCTGCTCGACAGGTTTTACTGCCCTGCTCTTTGTTTGTAAGAACAAAGCCCAGAGGAGAGGCCTGCCTGAATGCCGAATTCTTCTAGGTGCCAAGGGACAGAGCCCAGGAGGGAAAGTCCAGGAACACTTTGTTATGAAGGAGTGGTTGTAGTGCTGGTGTGATGGCTTCTGGAAGCCTTCTCATTGGCCAAATAGGAGCTTTTGTGTTGTATACCTTTCAATCTTAACCAAGTATCTGGAGAATACTTTCAGGGCACAGGGGTTACTATGGATTTTGTAATAGTGGCACCCAAACCTCCCAAGATGCACTCAGTGATTAAAAAGGCTTGAAATTTTAATAAGAGGTTTTTTCTGAAGTCTTTTTTTTTTTTTTAAATCAAACTTTCCTGAAAGATACAAATCCAAATTGAAAAAATAAATCTCCTTTAGCCACCCTCTGGGGCCTACAAATAAGTATCTTTTTTACTAAAATGCAAAAGTAAAGTTCTGGCTTTTTCCTAGAAGAGGCAATATAGGGGAGTTAAGACTGTGTGGCTAGACGACCTGGCATCATGTCCCAGTTGTGCCCCTTATTAGCGGTATAACTACCAAATTACATTACCTCTCTGAACCTCAATTGCCTTATCTGCAAAATGGGGAAAATAATTTAACCTTTTGGGTTGTTAGGATTAAGAATTCATATATACAAAGTTCTTAGAATGTTGTCAGGCATGTAACAATAGCAAACACTGACTCTGCTTTCTGTGGTCAGTGCTTACCTCTCCAGGCTTTCTTGTGTCTCTGTATTCTGGTGTGTGAAGTACAGTCACCAGCTTTCCCACCAAGGAGGGGACACAGGGTGAAAGGCAGCTGTCCTTGGGAAATAGATCTTCCTTTGTCTTAGATTTGAGCAAACACATATGACAAGAGAAATAAAGTAAGGAGAGTGAAAAACTGCCAATATGGCTTTTGTTTCCACAGCGGAAAGGGTGAAGCAAGAGAATCTGAACCTCGTCTGTATTCCCACTTCCTTCCAGGTATGTCCTGCTTTCCATCTGCATCGTGACAGCTTCTGCTGTATCTTCTGGTTCCCCGAGGTTGTGGACACATGGCCTTGTCTTGCACCTCAAGGTTGTTCTAGGTCAGAGAGTCCAGGAATAGGAGAGTTTATTGACCAAGTATTCCTTCTTGGAATTGTAGTTTTAGGTGCATTTGTTTATTTACTCGGAGAATGTTTCAGTGCATGTTGAGTTTAGGCACTACGGAGTATGCAGAGATGGCCAGGTAGTCTCTCTCTTCAAGGAATATTATTCCTGTTTATAGGTGAAAATCAGGCTAGGCCAGGTGTGGTGGCTCATGCCTGTAATCCCAAGTACTTTGGGAGGCCAATGTAGGCAGATCCCTTGAGCCCAGGAGTTCAAGATCAGCCTGGGCAATATGGTGAAAGCCTGCCTCTACAAAAAATACAAAAATTATCTGGGTGTGGCGGCTTGTACCTGTAGTTCCAACTAGGTGGGAGGCTGAGGCGGGAGGATCTCCCTTGAGCCCAGGGAGGTCCAGGCTGCAGTGAGCTGTGATTGTGCCAGTGTACTCCAGCCTTGGCGACAGAGTGAGACCCTGTCTCAAGAAGAAAAAAAAGAATCAGGCTAAAAGGAATTAAGCAATGTGTTAGTAATACAAGTACATCATAAATTAGTAGGAGCTGATGGAGGAAAGCAGTGGAGCCAGTTAAATATAGGGAGAGATAAGGAAAGAGCAGGTTTTGGGAAGTAGAAGGGAAGACAGTTGCTCAGGTGGAGCCAACTCTTATCCCTCATCTGGCCATTGCAGGGAGGAGTATGTGTATAATCTCTCATTGGATTAGTCAAGGTGATACTATGCACTAGGGTAGGAGGTGAGATTTATGAGTGACTGATGCTTCCGGGACTTTATGGGCTTAGGCTTGGACAGCTGGGTTTCTTAGGAAACCCTCCCAATCCTGGAGGCACAGAATGCTGGTAGCCTGCAGCCAGCTTTGGTGAAGGGAGAGAGGTTAAGGTTCCTTCTAAACCAGACTGGCCTCAGCTTAACAATAGGGAGCAAGGCAGAGATTCCAGGTAGACAGGTTAGGGAGTTGGATAGTGCATACTATTGGAGCTTCCTTGATGTTAAATCTCTCGGAGACCTTAAACAAGGTGAATGGCCACCCAGGGGACTGAAGGCAATACCTTAAGTGTTTTATATTGCATTTTTTTTTTTTTTTTTTTTTAAATTCTGCTGTCTTGAGGAGACACTTTTAAAGCCTCAGTGGTTTGTGGTGGATTTTTTTAGTCTTTTGGAAAGCTAATTATCTAATTTTTCCAACTGACTTGATCATCAAGTACTTTTATTTCTTAGTTAATAAATTACATTGGTGTTTATTTTTAAAGTTATATATGCACGTGCATGGAAGAAACAAATAATTGAAGTCTTTTTATTTAAAAGAGATAAAAGCACACTTCCCTCACCTTCCCTGAGATGACCACTACCCAGAAAGCACACTCTTCTCACCTCCGCACCCCTCACCTCCACTATTTCTTGCTCTTTACGTGGACATACTTTTAGCTCTTTTAGGTGATTGGATATTTGCTCCAGTATTTTGAAACTACATGCTTTTCTTGATCTTTAAAAATTTTTCTCAACTAGGTTGACCCAAAAGGTTAAAATAATAGCCACTATGGATTTAAGTCAAAGTTAATTTTATTCTGAGCCAAGTTTGAGGACTATAGACCAGGGACACAGACTCAGAGTATACTGGGAGCGTGTCCCTTTCTGCTGTAATTCAGTAGGTCAGAATTAGAGGAAAGAGTATGTTGGATAAAACAGACAATAGAAGACCACCTTACATACATTCTGTGGCTGTAGTTCAAATTGATGAGCTAACATAATTTTGGCTGGAGTTTTATTCTTTTGGTAACATTTTTGCAGTGTTTATAATATTTGTAACATAGGAATATTAGAAAGACATTTTCCTGTCTTCTGAGCCCTCCAAACTGTTCCAACCTCTGCCTGTTACCCAGTTGCAAAGTCACTTCCATATTTTCAGGTATCTTCTCAGCAGCACCCCACTCTGCTGGTACCAATTTATTAGTCCATTTTCACAATGCTGATAAATACATACATGAGACTGGGCAATTTACGGAAGAAAGAGGTTTAATTGGACTTGCAGTTCCATGTGACTGGGGAAGCCTCACAGTCATGGTGGAAGGCAGGGAGGGGCAAGTCCCATTCTACATGGATGGCAGCAGGCAGAGAGAAAATGAGGAAGACCCAAGAGCAGAAACCCCTGATAAAACCATCAGATCTCATGAGACTTACTACCACGAGAGCAGTATGGAGGAAACAACCCTCATGATTTAATTATCTCCCACTAGGTCCCTCCCACAACACATGGGAATTATGGGAGTGCAATTTGAGATGAGATTTGGGTGGGGACACAGAGCCAAACCATGTCACCTGTATACCATATATTATTTTCAGCAGGGTATAGAAATTAAGGGTCATCTCTCTCACCACTCCTGTTCAACATAGTATTGGAAGCTCTGGCCAGGGCCATCAGGCAAGAGAAAGAAAGGGTATTCACATAGGAAGAGAGGAAGTCAAACTGTCTCTGTTTGTAGGTGACATGATTCTGTATCTAGAAAACCCCATCCTCTCAGCCGAAAAGCTCCTTAAGCTGATGAGCAACTTTAGCAAAGTCTCAGGATACAGAATCAGTGTGCAAAAATCATAAGCATTCCTATACACCAACAATAGACAAACAGAGAGCCAAATCATGAATGAACTCTCATTCACAGTTGCTATGAAGAGAATAAAATACCTAGGAATACAGCTAACAAGGGAAGTGAAGACCTCTTCAAGGAGGACTACAAACCACTGCTCAAGGAAATGAGGGGACACAAATGGGAAAACGTTGCATACTCATGGATAGGAAGAATCAGTATCATGAAAATGGCCATACTGCCCAAAGTAATTTATAAATTCAATGCTATTTCCCATTAAACTACCATTGACATTCTTCACATAATTAGAAAAAACTACTCTAAAATTCATATGGAACCAAAAAAGAACCTGTATAGGCAAGACAATTCTAACCAAAAAGAACAAAGCTGGAGGCATCATGCTACTGGACTTCAAACTATAGTAACCAAATCAGTAACCGAAACAGCATGGTACTGGTACAACAGACACATAGACCAATGGAACAGAATAGAGATCTCAGAAATAAGACTGCACATCTACAACCATCTGATCTTTGGCAAACCTGACAAAAGCAATGGGGAACAAATTCCTTATTTCATAAATGGTGCCAGGAGAACTGGCTAACTATATGCAGAAATTGAAACTGTACCTTTTCCTTACAACTTATATGAAAATTAACTCAAGATGGATTAAAGACTTAAATGTAAAACCCTAGAAAATGAAAAACACTATAAAAACCCTAGAAGAAAATACCATTCAGGACATAGGCACTGGCAAACATTTCATGACAACAACATCAAAAGCAATTGCAACAAAAGCCAATATTGACAAATGGGATCTAATTAAAGAGCTTCTGCACAGCAAAAGAAACTATCATCAGAGTGAACAGACAGCCTACAGAATGGGAGAAGATTTTTGCAATCTATTCATCTGACAAAGTTCTAATATCTAGAATCTACAAGGAACTTAAACAAATTTATAAGAAAAAAACCGAACAATCCTATTAAAAAATGGGCAAAGGACATGAACAGACACTTCTCAAAAGAAGACATTTATGTGGCTAGCAAACATGAAAAAAAGCTCAACATCACTAATCATTGGAGACATGCAAATCAAAAGCACAATGAGATACCATCTCATGCTGGTCAGAATGGCGATTATTAATAAGTCAAGAAATGACAGATGCTGATGAGGCTGTGGAGGCAGGAATGCTTTTATGTTGTTGGTGGGAATGTAAATTAATTCAACCATTGTGGAAGATGGTGTGGTGATTCCTCAGAGACCTAGAGCCAGAAATATCGTTTGAATCAGCAATCCCATTACTGAGTATATACCCAAAAGAATATAAATCATTCTGATCTAAAGATACATGCACATGTATATTCATTGCAGCACTATTCATAATGTCAAAGACATAGAATCAACCCAAATGCTGCCAATGATAGACTGGATAAAGAAAATATGGTACATATACACCATAGAATACTATGTAGCCATAAAAAGGAATGAGATCATGTCCTCTGCAGGGACATGGGTAGAGCTGGAAGCCAGTATCCTCAGCAAACTAACATAGGAACAGAAAACCAAACACCACATGTTCTCACTTAATAAGTTGGAGCTGAACAGTGAGAACACATGGACGCAGGGAGGGGAACAACACATACTGGGGCCTGTGTGGGGAGTGCAGGGGGAGGGAGAGCATCAGGATAAATAGCAAATGCATGCAGGGCTTAATACCTATGTTATGGATTGATAGATGCAGCAGACCACCATGGCACACATTTACCTATGTAAAAAACCTGCACATCCTGCACATGTATCCTGGAACTTTAAATTAAATTTAAAAATAAAGAAATTAAGGGTCATATTTATATGATTTCAGGATTCCAAACATTTTGGGGACAGCACAAACTTCCTGAATTTGTTTACAGTGTAGAACTGAAACTGGACTCTTAAGTACTATTATTTAATATGGCCTATCAGCTCCCCATTGGGAAAATATAAGTATTATTTTAAAAAAATCTCTATTCCTGGCCGGGCGCGGTGGCTCAAGCCTGTAATCCCAGCACTTTGGGAGGCCGAGACGGGCGGATCACGAGGTCAGGAGATCGAGACCATCCTAGCTAACACGGTGAAACCCCGTCTCTACTAAAAAAATACAAAAAACTAGCCGGGCGAGGTGGCGGGCGCCTGTAGTCCCAGCTACTCGGGAGGCTGAGGCAGGAGAATGGTCTAAACCCGGGAGGCGGAGCTGGCAGTGAGCTGAGATCCGGCCACTGCACCCCAGCCTGGGCGACAGAGCAAGACTCTGTCTCAA